GTGGTGGCCGTTACTCCCGACTTCAGTGTCTCATGATCAGAAATCCTACTGATTTTGCTCAAGAAAGAAAAGTTACAACCATGATACTTTTTTTTCATGATTCTCTGATGAAGAGAGTTCAAAAGAACAACATTAATTTGAAATGTTTTTGTAACAATTGTTTTTACAACTATTAATTTCTTTAAAAAATTATCTTACTGACCCCAATTTTTTAAATTATTATAGTGTATTTTTGTACTGTCTTGTCAATTCTCACATTAGTCACAGTATGTCATGATTCAGAACATTTTTCAAGCTTATCTTAATTGGTGTGCATTTGAAATCATGTGAAAGTGAATCGGTGTCATTGGTTTAAATCTCTTTGCCTTGTTTTAATCATACAAAATCATCATTGTTGGTTGTTGTTGAAGCAGCTCTGACTTTGCAGTAGGGATATGTGTGTTTTTGGTGGGTTGTATTGAGTACTGTTACTGCCATGGACTAAAAACTGTGTACATCGATGGAAACTGGCACTCCTCGAGAGGGTGAGTTACCATCCAAATGTCTTTCATTTGTATTGCAGGAACTCTTGACCCCAGTTCACCGTACACGATGGTGTCCGCCAGTCCAAGGGTCGGACCATGGCCAGGTTCTCCGCAGGTCTCTGGACCCTCCCCAGGGGCCCGAATCCCTGGCATGTCACCAGGCAACCCTTCTTTGCACTCACCTATTCCAGATCCATCCCACTCCCCTCGAGCTGGCACGAGTAAGTCCAGAGTCTAAAGACTGATCCATGTTATCAGAACAGCTTATTATTTTATAAATATACATATTTTCCCACTTTACAGTAATGAGAATTATTTTTATTATTATTATTAAATTGCAGTTAGAATTTTTCTGCTTAATTGTCTTTATTGAAATGCAAAATACCTTGATGGGGTTTTGCATTGCATTGATTTTGGGGTTAAGTACCTGGACATTTTCTTGACACTTTCTGTGCGATTAACCCGATAATTACATCGTTTGTCCTAGGTTTGATGTACACTACTGGTCAAAAATTAGATTTTTAAAGATTTTTTTTTTATGTTTCTAAAAGAAGCCTGTTATTCTCACCAAGGTAAAGCAGTAATATTGCACAGTATTGCTATTCAAATTAGCTTATTTTTATATTAAAATGTAATTTATACCTGTGATGGCAAGGCAGAATTTTCAGCAGCCATTACTCCATCAGTGTCACATCCTTTAGAAATCTTTCTAATATACTGATTTAGTGTTCAAGAAACATTTTTTCTTATCATATTGAAAACAGTTGTGCCGTTTAATATATTTGTGTAAACCATGATACATGTTTAGGATTCAAGATTAATGGAAAATTAGTACAAAAAAATGCATTTATTTGAAACGGAAATCTTTTGTAAGATTGTCTTTACTGTCACTTTTGATCAGTTTAATGTATCCTTGCTTAGTAAAACTACAAATTTCTAGAAAGAAAAAGTAGTGTAAATGAGAGAATTTAATATTATTTACATGTACATTAAGCAGTAATTAAATTTGTTCAGTCAGTCACTGTGCGTGTTTGTGTGTGTAGGTTCACAGGCAATGCCCCCACCCCGTAAACTGCCACAGCGGTCCTGGGCCGCTTCTATTCCCACCATCCTCACCCACAGCAAACTACATGTTCTGCTTCTGCCGTCATCCATTCCATGCCCAGTGCCAGGGCTGGCGGGCAGCTACCTGTGCTCACCTCTGGAGCGCTTCCTGGGCTCTGTCATCATGAGGCGGCACCTACAGAGAATCATACAGTTAGAACCCAATGTGAGTCAGAAACTGTTAACAAGTTTACAACCACATCATTTAACCAGTCAGATTGATATGATTCTGCTTACTCACTGTATTTGCATCACTCTCGATTACCTTCTCTTCACAGCTCACTATTGTGAACTCCAACGAGCCAGGTGTTATCATGTTTAAGACAGAAGTGCTTAAATGTAGAGTGGCTCTCAACCCCAAAACCTACCAGACTCTGCAGCTGAAAGTCACACCAGAAAACACTGGACCCTGGTCGCAGGAGGAGCTGCAGGTCCTGGAGAAGTTCTTTGAGACCAGGGTAGGAAACGAACTTTTGAAGAGAATTGTAATGTGTATTTTAAAATGGACCTGTTCGTCCTGATTTAACAACACTGGCCTAATGTCATGATTAGGGGCTACCTGTTTAAAACTAGTTAGAAAACGCTTATCTTTGCTATTCTGCTTAGTGCAATTAGCTGTGCAGTTTTTTTTTCTTTAAAGCAAATCAGTTCACTCAGTGGCCTTCTTGGCAATGCCATCAAGTCAGGTATTGTGCAGTTATGCAAGTGCAAGTCATTTTCTTTTACTTAAACCATAGGTTGCAGGACCACCCTTTAAATACAACACACTAAATGCCTTTACAAAGCTGTTGGGAGCTCCAACCAACATACTCAGAGACTGTGTTCGCATCATGAAACTGGAGTTGGTAAGCACATTCATGTTGATTTAATATTACTTTTTTTTTGCCCTTGTGCAAGCATACACTACGTTTCAAAAGTTTGGGGTCAATTAGATTTTTAATGAATACTTTTATTTAGTAAGGATATGTTAATATGGTCAAAAGGGACAGTAAAGATTTAAAATAAATGCTGTTCTTTTGACCTTTTTTAATAAAAAAAAAAAGTATCACTTAATCACTAAATCAGCATATTAAAATTATTTCTAAAGTTTTATGTAACTCTAAAAACTGGAAAAATTGCTCCTGAAAATGTAAAGCTTTAAGCAAAAACCTAGTGTTGCCATTAAAGGAATAAAATGCATAAATATACCAGAAAACAGGTATTCAAGTTGTAATAATATTTCACAATATTACATTGGTTAGCATATGAGACCTCTTTCCAAAACAAAACAAAAAAAATCTTCCTGAACTTTTGAGCTATATTTTACATTTGGAAACTCACTGGCCCATCATTTTTCCTCCAGTTCCCAGACCAAGCGGCCCAGCTGAATTGGAATGTGCAGTTCTGTCTGACCATCCCACCCAGCGCTCCTCCCATCGCCCCACCAGGAACCATTGCTGTGGTGCTTAAGACCAAGATGCTCTTCTTTGTAAGTGCTTCAGTCACTCCTTTCTGGTTTGCAATGTCCCCTTTTACCATACAACCAATTCCCAATGGATAAAATACGATCTCACCATACATAAATAACCATGTCCTGAATTCTGATTATTACACTAATATTCCAGCCATTATACACCCAGCAACTTGTATTTGATCTGTGGTTTAAGTTTACTATGGATTCCTAACGTGTATTAACTTGACGTGATGCTCTTTTACAGCTCCAGCTGACCCAGAGACTACCGGTACCCCAGGAGCCCGTCAGCATCATAGTGCCTATTGTGTATGACATGGCTACTGGACTGACCCAGCAGGCTGATATCCCCCGCCAGCACAGCTCCTCGGGAGCCGCGGCCCTGATGGTCAGCTCCATCCTCAGAAGGTTCAATGAGCACCATCCACCACGACAAGGTTCACACATCTGTTTTGTTTAATGTGAATTTTTAAATTGATATGGAAATCAGTATATAATATTAGTCAGATATTTAACATTTTGTTTCAATACTTGCATTTCAATATTAATGCTAGCCTGTTTTTTTTTTTACAGGAGAGTGCACAATATTTGCAGCAGTTCATGAGCTCATGGCTAATCTCACGCTGAACCCTGTTGGACGGTCATGACTTGTTGTCTCTTAGGAAACTTCTCCAGACGATCAGTAAATAACTCGAGGGAAATTCAGGTTTTCTACTACAGCCGATGGGCTCTTCTGCTGGTGTATCATATTGTCATAAAAGAGAGCAGAAATATGATGGAACTTTTTTTTATTGTATTATGAAGCATGTAAATGAATAATTGTGACAAAAGCAGGACTTTCTTTTTTTTTTTTAAATAGCTTGGCAAAGTTCTGCTAACGGATTTATTTTTTTTCCGATGCACTTAAGGAAATGATTGTGATAGAAAAAATGTTTAACTACAGCTGTATTTTTTTATTTGAAACTTTGCAGAAAAATTCTTGTCTTTTTTGTAATACAAGATATCAATACTGTGTAAGTATTGATGTTTTCTTTATCAGCACACTATTTAAATGTTTTTTCTTTGATTGCATTACTTTGATTTCTTAGTATACCTTTCACTTTAAATATGCGTGACAAACCTTCTAAATAAGCAGTGTTTTATTGTCATTCATTGGAATCATGGAAAAGGTCTAAGATTTTTTTTTGTCTGTTTATTACTATTTAATAAACATTGAAAATAGCTCCATCCTTTCATTAATAACTGCTTGTTTGTTTGATTAAGTTAAATATTAAATATATTTAGAGAACAAAATGAGAACAGTTATCCTTCTCTATGTCTGGCATTTAAAGGTTAATTATTGTATATTATAAGTACTTTTTTTTTTTTT